TGGCAGGACATGCTGGAAGAACAGCATGGGGGTTGGGAGCACAACTAGGAGGAAAACGTAGGGGTTGGGATGAAGAGGGCACTGTGCAGAAGGGAAAAGGGGAATTTAGTTTAACTAATCGACTAGCCAATTTACTTCCCGTTGATTAGTCAATAAACAGGGGAGCCACAGGAGCATTAGCTTCCAGCCCTGGAGCTAACCCCGGTGCAGCTCTGCCTTTAAAAGACAGCAGGCTCTTAATACATTAAAAGGTTGAAGCACAGCAGGGGGGACCTGGCACAAGGGTCCCCCCCCCACACACACACACAGTGTATCAGCCTTAAATGTAGAAAGGCTGGAGTGCAGCAGGGGACCTGGAGTGAGCCAGGAATCAGCTGTCCCAGTTCGCGCTGCTCTTCCTTGCTGTGCTTCAGCCTTTTAAATGTATTAAGAGCCTGCCAGCTCTTAAATGCTCTGGGATTAGGCACAAGCCAGAGATCTGCTGATTCCCAGATTGCACCCAGTCCCACTATGCCCTCTTTTCCCTGCAGACATAGTGCGGGGGGAGGGGGGGGGGGAAAACCAGTTTTTAAGCCAGCCTTCCCCAGCACTGGCTTCTGCTCCTCTCCCGCTCCCAACCCTTGCTGCCCCTGATAGAAGCAGCAAGAGGGATGGGGGGGAAGGGAAGTGACTAGTTGAGGGATTAGTCAACTATCTGATAAACTTTTGCTTATCAAATAGTTGACTAGTCACTTACATCCCTAGGTGCTACTGTGGCCCACATCCAAAAAAGATCACTCCGCTCACAGATGGAAAAATCTTAGAGGGGATATAGGTCATCATCCCAAATACAGTAAAACTCTGATGGTCCGGCATCTGATGGTCCGGCACTCCTGATGGTCCGGCACCATCGGGAACACGGAAGTACTCTGGGCAGCCAGACCATTGGAGCTGCTCTGCCCCCAGCTTCCCGAATTCAGCCGCTGCTAAAACTGATCAGCAGCTGAATCGGGGAAGCTGGGGGCAGAGCAGCTGGAGTGCTGCCCAGTAAGTCCCGTAGCACTGCCCCTCGGGGCTGCGGGACCAACCCGGCAGCACCCCAGCTGTCCCCGATTCAGCCGCTGGTGCAACTGCCCAGC